ATTCAGTGCTACAGTTCAACTAGTTTCCTACCAAAGCTGGGAGGATGTGATTGGAGCAATTCTGTCATTTCAGTTGCTTGATTTTGATCATTTTCCTTGGTTAATGTCCATAAGAACCCATATTCCAGAATCAGAGATGACACTGCACCAGGATTATCATACAAATTTTGTCAAGAGCATATGAAAATGAGCCTAAATGTCTGCAATAAAAAAGCAACAACAGCAACTAACAATTCAGTGGAGTTTTATTTTTATTGCAAAAATTAGATTCCTTTTTAGGGTCTGATAGTCATAATCAAGGACAGCAAATTAGGATGTCAAATATTGGCAGGAAGTTACTTTTCACAGTGCAAACTCCTAGTGTACAGGTCTTAGTAGGGGGAAAAGGGACAGTTTTGTTCTTGAATTTTTGGATTCAGCTCCTGGTCCTGTCATTTAACATCACAATATTGAGGCTAATCTCACTTGCATCAATTGCAGATGCTTCCATTTCCTATTAATTTTGCTTTCACAAACTTCCCTCTAATTCTCACCCTCTTCAAATTTTCAGCAAAGAGCATTATGGGAGCTGCAACCATTATTAATAGGAGAGGTGAAAGTTCAATCCCCCATTGTAGTAAGGACAACTTAAGATATGCTCTTTTCACTGCACAGTGTTAATTTATATAATATACCACCTAATCAAACTCTGCTGTTTATTCTCCAATTGGCTGCAGCATTACCAATGCCCTCCAGCCACTGAACGACATAAAAGATGCATTTGCAGATTTTGAAAATTAAAGCCATCTATACAGCCAGTGGGGAAGATCAGCTTATTTGGTTGCTTAATGAAATATAAAGATTATTTTAACCAATGTAAGCACAATTCGACAGCTTGCAAAACACTGCTGCAGCTTGACAAATGGCCTCCACCATTTACAAAAGAAAATTGCTGCATAGTGTCTTTTAAATATTTAATTTATTCTATTTGGAGCATGCAGGGAGGGAAATGGGAAGTTAACTGTGATTCTGCGAGCCTACAGAGAATGGATCTAAGAAGTTGTTCATTCTTAAATTCAGGTTAGAGATAACAGGAAGATTTTAGTACTCTTCTCCACAGAGGTGCTATTAAAAGCAGGAACTACACTAGTTATAAAACCGAATTGGATAGATGTATGGAAAGATTTTTTTATTTACAGTATGATGTTTCCATCACAGCCTACTTGTCAGGAATAGATTTTTGTATGTATTTTTGTGCCGATCTCATGGATTTTCTAGTTCAGACCTTCAAGAGCCAAGTTTCCCAGACTCAAATTATCCTGGAAAGATGAGCATTCGTTCAGTCCCCTCCTTAAAAACTCAAATGTAATTTCTTATGCAATCTGGTCCACTCATAAATATTTCTTCATAACTAACAAATTTTGTACTCCAAAATTACTTACCTACCTATTTCAAGTCTTGAAATAGCTGTTCTATCAGCTGCATTCCTCCTGTTCCAGCAATAAAAATACAGATTTGGTTCAGCAAGTTCTAATGAATAAATCCACACTGTCTTCTAGTAATCCAAAGGGTTTTTTTCCCCTTGCAACTTTCTAGTGGCAGGTCACTCCTTTCCTGGGTGTGAACACCCAAACAGTGTACGTTCTTCAATAGTTTGTGTGGGTTCAATTAGCTTTGCTTTCGGTGTATTTACTTTGTGTTGACTACCCTTTCCCATACATGAGTTTTGCTATTGTTGTTAATCTTGCCTTTCTACATTCAGCTGGGGTTTCACGCTATTGTTTCTTCCATCATTTCCCAAAGATGCTTACTGTAAGATTTTGTGATCTCTGATCAGCATATGTGCCACACGCTTGTCAGGGGCAGACTTTGGTCTTTCAAATTTCAGCTGCACCCTGTGTGAGCCCAAAATCTAGCACTCTCCCACCTATCACCCTCTGTTCTGCTCAATTCTCTATATCATAACTGCAACACCCTGTGACACCCTCTAGGCTCGGCACCCAGTGTGGCGGTACTGGTCACATTGCCCTAAATCTGCCTCTGCCCAAATGATTCGTTTTATTTATCATCATCATTATTTTTAATCTGCATACTGTCAGTGTGGTGCCAGTGTGGTGTAGTGGTTAAGAGTGGTAGTCTCGTAATCTGGGGAACCGCGTTCGCGTCTCCACTCCTCCACATGCAGCTGCTGGGTGACCTTGGGCCAGTCACACTTCTTTGAAGTCTCTCAGCCCCACTCACCTCACAGAGTGCTTGTTGTGGGGGAGGAAGGGAAAGGAGAATGTTAGCCGCTTTGAGACTCCTGAAGGGGAGTGAAAGGCGGGATATCAAATCCAAACTACTCCTCTTCTTCTTCTTCTTCTTCTTCTTCTTCTTCTTCTTCTTCTTTATATCTTACAATACTCAAGGCAGTTTACAAACTGAAGAAACAAAAAATGTACATCTTATAACAATCTAATGCAATACAAAAATGTGATAATAAAACATAACTTTAAAATAGGTAAAGGTAAAGGTACCCCTGCCCATACGGGCCAGTCTTGACAGACTCTAGGGTTGTGCGCTCATCTCACTCTATAGGCCAGGAGCCAGCGCTGTCAGCAGACACTTCCGGGTCACGTGGCCAGCGTGACAAGCTGCATCTGGTGAGCCAGCGCAGCACATGGAACGCCGTTTACCTTCCCGCTGGTAAGCGGTCCCTATTTATCTACTTGCACCCGGGGGTAACCTATATCAAAAAAGTAACATTCAACAATCACTAGAATAGTATTAAATAATAATAACAACATATAAAAGTTAAACAGAAATCCACTCAGCAGTTATAATAAATTTCTAAACTATAATCAATAAAACAACGGCAAGACACAGTATATAAAATAATACAATACAAATTGAGAAGCAGAGATTAGAGGGTGGGGCAAGGCAGGTGCAAAGAGGCCTTGCTTGATGGAGTCTCTCCCCTCACAGTTAATTAGGCAGTATACTTCATCTATCATGCAACTCGGGGTGGCTTGCATGAGTGTGTTTCATGGGCAGTCTCCCATCCAGGCTTTGAAGCCAAGTTATTTATAGCCACCTGATACATCCACTTGTTTGGAAATGCTAGATGGAAATATTTTCACAAACAAACTACAGTGTTGGACATTCTGAGTTGGATTTGCACCCAGAACAGAATTCCCTTGATTTGATATTTGCTTAAAATTGGTGGCTAGGAAACTATTAGAGAGCTCACATTCTGCTGAAGGAGCCTTGTGTTTTAATTTCATTGTTATCACTCACAGTTGGAGGCATATGTTTGTGATAAACGTTCATCTTGTCCAGGCTAGGCCAAAACATTTTTCTGCCTGAGGCAAAGGACAAGAGGGTGCCTTTCCTCATTCCATGTATCAAAACCGACTAAGGTGGCATTTGAATCTATCTTACTTCAGCACTGGCAAAGGGATAGCATCCTCCACTACACTTGAGGGAAGATATAGGGCAAGTAGCACACAAAGCTCTTCTGTCTCCCCTCCCTTCAGCATATGCCACCTGTAGCAACGGTCTCATTCTGCCTAATAGTGGGGCTGGCCCTGCATTTTGTCTCCTGAGCCAACACATGACTGAGAGCTTCACTTGCTTGTACTTCGTCCTTCTCCTATGGGTGTTTGGATAAACTACACATGTAACCGCTTATTACTATTGTGTGCTAAAACTTATTCTGCATGTGACTGATTTCCATGGGAATTATATATACTGCTTCACTGCCTGCACACTGATTTGGAGTTGCTGGAATATATGTTTTGTTTTGTCAGTAAATTATGCTGGTAGCTATGGTACATAGGTAGTCAGTATTCCATGGAATATTTAAGATTCTCTCTCTCCTAGAGTGCTTGTGTAACCAGCTTTGTTATTAAAGTTTTATTAAAATCTGTTCATTCATTTTGCAGGCATGCCCATGCACACACTTTCTGATACAGGAAGTACAGACTTGTCAACAGGCAATGTTACAAAATACCATACTGGGAATAAGATTTGGGTACTTAGCATCTATAGGAGAAAATAAAATAAAAGAGCAAACCACATCACAGTTCACCAGAATGCTTGTGTTATGTGCAAATGGGATATTGTGCCATTATCACTGAAAAGGGACTTGCGGGAGGACCATGGTTGAGGTCCACCTTGAATAACAGAGAACTACCCCTTTTCCCCCAATGTGGAAAGGCCCAAATTGTTGGGAAGAAAATTGTGAGAGCCAGGATTCAAAGAATAATGAGATTTCTAAGGCTAGAGGCAACCCATTTTCCTATGTTTGAAAGATGACTGGTTAGAAATGAAATATGCCATTCTCGCTTCTGGTGAAAACACTGAGGGAAAGGCAACTTTCTCTCCCAGCAGCCTGATGTACTTCCAAAGCTTTACATTAGTTCAGTCCACGTCCGTTCATACATTTGTCAAAGCCGTATGTCACAACAATGAGGGGAGGGGAATGCAGGTGTAAAAAAACAAAACTTCACAAGATCAGTTGCTTTTTTTGATAATCAGCTGTACACCTAGATAAAGCCGTATTATGGTCACCAGCATCTTTGTAGCTAACCTGGAAAGGAGGTAGGGTGGGGCAGCAGCAAGATAGGGGCCACACCTGTGCACTGTCAATTTGGTACTCTGACTGCTGCACCTGCATGGACCCATCCTCACTTCCACCCATCCTCAGTCCCATCCAGGCAAGCAGTAGTGCCAGTTTCAGGGAAGATGGCTCTTTGGATACACTGGTAGGTCCACATGCACTTCTGTTACACCCCATGACCCTGTGAGCTAGGTTAGGCTACGAGACCACGACTGGTCCAAGGTATGGTTGAACAGGGATTAAAGCTGAAGCGAACATACCTTGGACTTGAGAAAAGTGAACCTGATGGATTTCCATGTGGAATTAAATTTCCACCTACATGATTGATGGTTTCACATCAAAGGTTGCCTTTGCATTAGTCACACTAACAGTCTCCTCCTTCTCCTTCTCCTCTTTCTGTTGCTACAGGTCTTATGTCACCATGCAGCACTATGGAGTGAATGGCTATTCTCTTCATGCCATGAATTCTCTGAGTGCCATGTATAATCTTCACCAACAGGCAGCACAGCAAGCTCAGCATGCCCCAGACTACAGGCCGTCTGTGCATGCCCTGACGCTGGCAGAGAGACTGGCTGGTAAGAACAACTTATGGATCTTGTCTTTGCATTGGGATAGTGTACAGGATTATTACTGGGACACGGCTGAAATGACAGCTGAATTTTGAGAAGACCAAAGGGTTGGTAATTTTTAAAATCCCTGAAGATGAGCACAAATCCAAGGAAAAGCAATAACAGCTCAGTTGTGCAAAATGTCCTGGACTTTATGTGAAGCCTCCAGAATAGGGAGCAAAAGTTAAGGTAACCAAACTGGAATTTTAATATTTTGCTTCATGCACTTATTTTCCACAAAGTTGCATATAGAATCCAATAAATATATAAAGGTGCTATACCAAATTTAGAAATTGCATCAAGCTACTCTGACTATAACATATGGCTGTACAGCAACCTGTCCTTTCAAATTCCAATACACTGCATTTGGACTTTGCTCTTGCCTGTAGGAGCTTCCAAATGGCAGATGGGGAAGGTGACTTTTGCAACTTCTCCCTCGCCCCTGCAGCCCCATGTCACACACTCTGGAAGAATGTGGAAGAATGAGGGAGGATGGTATTGACATACATCACGTCTCCCCCATCTCCACCAGTGGGATCCCTCCAATGGATTAAAAGCCTTCCATGGTCAGAAGGAGATGATTATCTTCTACAGATGCTCAAAAAGTCAGAAACCACCAGAGGGAGAGTGCTCTTGTGCTCAAATCCTGCTTGCTGGTTTCCCACAGACAACTGTTCAGTCCCTGTGAGAACAGGATGCTGACCTAGATGGGCCATTGGCCTGATCCATGTTCTGATGTCAGTGTTACTGGATTACAGCTCCCAGTGGCCTTCATCATTGGTCATACTGGCTAGGGCTGATGGGAGTTGGAGTCCAGCAGTGTTCTGAAGGTTGAAATACTGACCAATGGAAGCATCTCTGGAGGACAGTCATATCACTTCTTTAGGCCTCAGTTTCTTCAGTTGAATACAATAAAAACAAATAGCAGCTAGAGAACATTCAGAGTTTTGCTGCTATTTATGTAGATCAGGGATGGGGAACCTGTGGCCCCCCAGGACCTACCATCTCATGAGGTCCAACCACATGGAGAGGCCAATCTAAAGCTACCTCAAGCTGTACACTAGAAACCTCCCCATTTATTTAAGCCAGCGGTTCTCAACCTGTGGGTCGCCAGATGTTGTTGGACTACAACTCCCATCATCCCTGAACTCTGGCCTTGCTAGGGGTGATGGGAGTTGTAGTTCAACAACATCTGGGGACTCACAGGTTGAGAAAGGCTGATTTAAGCTGCTTTGTTAGCTGCCCAAATGCTTTTCTTTATATGATGCACACAAATTACACTAATTAAATTGGCCACTTCTCTTGTCCTCCAACGGCTGTACGTTTCAAGACATCATTTTGGAGGCCCGTTATGGCTCCCAGCACCGCAAACAGAGGAGAAGCCGCACAGCTTTCACAGCCCAGCAGCTGGAAGCCCTGGAGAAAACTTTCCAGAAGACTCACTATCCAGATGTGGTGATGAGGGAGAGGTTGGCCATGTGTACCAATTTGCCAGAAGCCAGAGTTCAGGTACCCATAATGTTAACCATCTCATGTTAACCATCCTGGGTGAAGGTAGATGTGAAATTTTAAGTGCCTTGGAATGGTGTGCCTGGGTGTCAAAACCCATTTCTACCACACATATAAACATTTTACCTGACTTCACCCTTAGTCTCAGCCCAGATGTTGCTTCCCTTTGCATCATAAAAATGGTACGTCTTGTTTAGATATAATGAGTAGTGCATGCATATTTTCTCCCCGGTGTGTTTTTGTGATATGCAGAGCTATTCATTCAAAGGACATTGTAAAGTTTTAGATCCACAGCTACCACGGCATGGTTTCACAACCCTCTTCATGAGGCTATGCATTCAGGCTCTGTGCATACAACCACACAAGGTGCTTTACTTCTCAATCCTGGCATCACCTGTGTGGCCACACCAACTGCACTTCCAAATGCATAGAGAACAGACAGCTTTCCAAACTATATTGTCACATGTCCTATTCAATTAATGCAGGCAGATGGTTGGTGGTGGTTAACCCACTGGGTGCTTGGGAGGTGAACTTATTTTGCTTTGTAAAAACAAAAATGGTGAAAACTTTACTGAACTATAAAATAAAAAGAACATAGCAGTTCAAGGGTTCATTGTCAGCCATTTCTGAACCATGAAGAGTTGGCTATTTCTAATGTAGCATTCTTTCAGATCATAGCTTTCATTGCTCATGAAAACCTCCACGAATCTGGTGCCTTTCAAATGGTTTGGACCACAGCTCCCATCAGGTCCAGCTAGCACAACTGTGCTGGCTGGGACTGATGCTGCATGGACGTAGCCAGGATTTTTGTTAGGGGGCAGAACCTCAGTTTGCTATGTATTTTTATTGATTTTTATTGGTTTAGGGGGGCAGCTGTTCCCCCCCAGCTACACCCATGGCTGATGAGCATTGTATCCCAAAGCATTTGGAGGAAACCAAATTGGCAAAAGCTGTTCTGAGGAACCATATGTCAAGGGCTGGCTCCCAAACCCCAGGAAACAGCTCTTGTTGGTTCAGATGGTATCTAATAACACATGGACCAGTGGTACCAAATAGTATGGGAAACAGCCTTATTAGAAAAACTAACCAATAAACTGAAACTGACATGGGGACTTCATCCCAGTATGGCTCCCCTTTGTCATATACACAGCCCAACAAGACAACGACAAGAATTCACCAACAGCATACAAATCAATATGGCTAACTTGATTCAAAAACACCCACCCACCCCACTCACAAATGAAAACAAAGTTCATCACAGCCAGTCACAACCAACCAACCATACCCTAGGCCAACCCCAACCTTTCTCACCACCCAAAAAACCACAAGTGAATAGTAAAGAGGACCTGCACAAGCGACGCAGACACAAAACCCCACACGTACATTAAGTAAAATAGAAACATTGCCACCTGACTCCACCCCCACTCACTGTGGCCCCCTTTCCCCCTTTTCTTCCTAATGTAACACTAATGTCTCAACAAATGAAAATGATCTGTAGAAAATGTAACTTGAAAAAAGAGACATTGCACATACTTTTGTAAACCAAGAAAGCTTTAATAAAAAATACGTTAAAAAAAAGAAAGATGGTGTCTAATGACCAGAATCTAAACCCTGAAAAGTATTGCACTGTCAACACTCCTTAAGCCCAAGCAGTCTGGGCCAGTAGATTCCCAGACCTTAAAAGTGCCTTGTTTTCCCAGACCTTAAAAGGCACCACTGAGATTCAAAAGAAGGAAGAGATGGCTCCTTGAGCCTCTGCTTAACCAAGTTAGACCACAGCAAGGAACCAAGTTTTATTAAAAGATAGTAAAGATTGTGTTTGCGTGCGTGCGTGCGCATGTGCACACACACCCATAGGAGAGCACAGTTAGAAAATACAATTAACAAATATAGTTGCGAATTAGAAAGCACAGTCAAAGATTAAAAGGTCTGGTTGGGAATTATAAACAGGGAGGGGAAAAACCAAAGCTATCTAAGGCAGTCCCTAGAATAGCAAATATGATCTCCCAGGTGAACAAAGATTGCCCACCAAGTGCAATGTCAGGTAGGGAACAAAACAGGAAATACCATGGAGAGAGGATACAAACTAAATAACACTGTTAGATTACACTGGTCTAATTTAAACCAATTTTCTGCTCCCTCTCCTTCTCTTCCAAACCAAGGTTTGGTTTAAAAACAGGCGAGCCAAGTTCCGAAAGAAGCAGCGCAGTCTGCAAAAGGAGCAGCTGCAGAAGCAGAAGGACTCTGAAACCAACCACAGTGAGGGCAAAGCAGACACTCCCATCCTAGAAACACAGACTCCGGCTCCTGATGCAGATAAATCCATGAGCCTGCCCAGTGAAGTCAACGCAGAGCTCAACCTGACTCTCTCGGAGCAGTCGGCCAGCGAGTCGGCAGCTGAGGACCAGACAGACAGAGAGGAAGAATTCAAGATCTCGCTGGAGGAGAACAAAGCAGAAAAGAGCCCCGGAGCCGAAAACAAGGCACTGAGCAGCAAGAGAGCAAGCCCAAAAGCAGGTGAGGAAGGAAAGCAACATTCTCCTTTGTAGGAAGAGTTTTGATGTGAGCAGAGCCTAAGGATGGGTTCAGAAACAAAGACTTTTCTCTTGCCCACCAGATAATCTCAATAAGGGTAGCCAATGTGGTACTCTCTAGCTTCTGTGAACTACATCTCCCATCAGCCCCCAGCCAGTAGGGTCAAATATCATGGATAATAGGAGCTGTACTTCACAGCATTCGAAGGGCATCACGTTGACTCCCTCTCTTTTAAAGGATCAATCTAGCTCTTTCATTCCAGTCACTTAATGTGCAAAGAAAACATACACATCACAAAAGGCAGGCTGTGCACAGGAACCTAAGCGTTGAAAAGATTATGGTGCCCCCATATTTAATTCAAAATAAAAACAGTATGAAACCATAAAATAAAATTTTAAAAACAAACAAAATAAAACATAGACTTGTTGCAGGTGTTGGCCAGGGATGATGGGAATTGTAGTCCAACAAACCTGCAGAGCCCCATGTTAGCTAGTCCTGGGCTAAGACCTTACATGGTTATATTATTCCATAAGTTTTCCAGAAGACGTTTTCTGAAACTCATGTAGGGAAGATTGTTTAAGAATTAAGTTAAGATTTGGTTGATCCCAAATATGTGAATCACAGTTCTACATTTTAAACATAAGGACATATGAAGAACCCTATTGGGTTAAACGAAGGCGTATCTAGTCAGGATCTTGCTTGCCCCAGTAACCAGCCAGATACCAATGAGAAGTCACAAAGCAGGACATGAGTGCATCAGGCCTCTTTCCTTGCTGTTCCCCAGCAACTGCTGTTTCGAAACATACCACCTCTGATAATGGATGTAGTCATCATGACACTGACCCAGTTGACACATAACATTAAGGACTTTGTGGCAAAGCATATTTCTGTTTACCATTTGCACTATTTCTCCAAAGTGCTTTACAATCACATTGGCTGCCAATATGCCACCTGGCCAAATTCAAGGTGTTGCTCTTAGTGCATAAAGCACTAAACAACTTAGGATCACCCTACCTAATGCCTTTCTCCATACATTCCTGCCCAGACATTGAAATATGCTAGAGAAGTGTTGCTAAAATGGCACTTGGCATACCAGCACCCAGACTGTGGAGTTTATTGCCTCTGCATATTAGGCACGATCTGTGTTGAGCTTTAGGTGCCAGCTTAAAACTTCTTTATTTATTTCTACAAGCTTACCTTGCCGTGACACATTGCTGTGTTCTTTGGATCTTTGCTTTTTACGTTTTTTTTCCTTTTGACTGCATGTTGATTTTATATACATCACTTTGAGAAGATCTTTTTTATTTATTTAGCAGTATACAGACACTTATTTATAAATACATACATGTCTACAGTGTTGAGCCATCTTTTCTACATATATGATATGATACACCATGCTCAGCTGCAGACTTCACCCCCATGGTGAATACAGTTCATTAGGGATTCATAGGCTTGCAGTGAATAGGTAGAGTTAAAAAAAAAAATCACACAAGCCGTTTATCCTCGAGTATGTTCAATCCAGGCAGATCAGACAATTGCTACTTAAAAGCTTACTGCATAATGCATGCACTGTGCAAAGTTGACTGCATTATTAACCTAGTGTTACCATCTATCTGCTGCCACATGGTAATCTGAGGAAGAGGAGTGGTGATGGCAGGGAGCCTAGCTACATGGTGGGATGCTACCCTCAGGTGCCATGTGATAAGCCAATTGCTGGTTGTGTTGATCCAGCCAAAGTCTGAAAGTCTAGTAATTATTATTATTATTATTATTATTATTATTATTACCCCCGCCCATCCAGCTGGGTTTCCCCAGCCACTCTGGGTGGCTGCCAACAGATTAAAAACGGAATAAACTTCCCTTCAAATGTCTTCTAAAAGTCAGATAGTTGTTTATTTCCTTGACATTTGATGGGAGGGCGTTCCACAAGGCGGGTGCCACCACCGAGAAGGCCCTCTGCCTGGTTCCCTGTAACTTCACATCTCACAGTGAGGGAACTGCCAGAAGGCCCTCGGAGCTGGACCTCAGTGTCCAGGCAGAATGATGGGGGTGGAGACGCTCCTTCACGTATACTAGGGCAGGGATGGGGAACATGTGGCTCTACAGATCCAGATGTTGTTGGACTCTGACCCTCATCATCTCCAGGCAGCATGACCAAGGATGATGGGAGTTCAAAAAGCATGTAGTCCAAAAGCATGTAGAGGGCCACAGGCTCCCTATCTTTGGTCCAGGACCAAGATCAAACAAAATGTTCCTTTCCTACAATTTGTCTTCAGATCTTCTCATCCCAATCTCTTGCCTTGCCAGTCCCTGGACATTCATGTCCCCATTTAAACAGGGTGTAAATGTGCATAGGTAGGAAATGGGGGAAAGGAGTCCTTTTCCAACTCTTGGTGGGAAAGGCAAGGCAAGCGTTTGGTGCTTCTTTCCCAGCACTCACACTCCTTGCTCTCTCTCTCTCTCTCTCTCTCTCTCTCTCTCTCTCTCTCACACACACACACACACACACACACACACCATTCTGTATCTTCCAAAGTTGCCCTGCGTTGCAGCAAGCTGGATGTAATACGTTTTGAACATCAAGAGAAACCGTTCTTTTCAGGTTTGTACTCTGTGCTGCTGATAATTTTTACTGACTTTCTTCTGCTGTGCTTAACAATGCAGATTCCCCCGTCAATGCCACGGCCACGCCATCTTCCAGTAGCAGCATGTCTCAGACACACTCCTATTCCTCCTCGCCCCTCAGCCTCTTCCGCCTGCAAGAGCAGTTCCGCCAGCACATGGCAGCCACAAACAACTTGGTCCATTACTCCTCCTTCGAAATGGGGAGCCCTTCCACCATGCCTTATTTGGGCATGAATGTCAACATGGCACCCCTAAGCTCCCTGCACTGCCAGTCTTATTACCAGTCGCTCTCCCACGCCCAGCAGGTGTGGTCCTCTCCTATCCTGCAGGCTTCGTCCTCTCTTCCAAGCCTGAACAGTAAAACGACGAGTATTGAGAACCTTCGGCTGCGAGCAAAGCAACACGCTGCCTCTCTGGGCCTGGATACTTTACCAAACTGAGAGTCAGGCAGGGGGGTGGGAAATGGCAAGAACCCAACCAACAGATGACCCTAAGGAAGCGCGCCATGCCTTTGCCACTGAATGGGTTTGTCTTTAACACACGGCACAGCTCTTGGCTCTGTCCCACATCACGTTGCTCCCACCAGTCCTGGGGGAAATGTTGACCCAAGTCTCCTATAGCTCTGGTTTCCACGTCAGACGTTGCTACTGCCTGTTTCCATGGCCCATTTTAAAAATAATCATAACAACCCAGAGGAAGGAAAGATGTCTTAAAAATGTGAGCTTGTCTTCAGAACTGTGAGTCAAACTATGTAATATTCAGAGAGATGCTTTAGATGGCGCTACGATAAATGTGATTGCTTTGTTTCTTTGCGGGACTGGGGAGCTTCATACTGTACATAGTTTATATGATGTTGAAAATGTTCCTTCACTTGTGTGTTAACGTCAGTGTTGCCTTATGCAGAATTGTGAAGCACCTCCCTTCCCTTTTCTTTTACATTTATACTTAGATAGTAGATAGAATCAACTCTATAATAATAATTATAATAATAATACAAAAAGCCAGCTGACCCAGGTGTGGTTTAACTGAAAGCTGTTCTGAGCCCCCAATGCCATGTTCTCCTTTAGTTCTTTTAAATTGCCCCATTTTATCAATATCAGGTGATGGTTGCAACTTTGTCCTGGTTAAAGCACTTCCAGTAGGACAGTATCCAATTTCTAGATGAGTTCTTCAAATGAATGAGAGGCATGAACACACTAGAATTTTTTGGATGAAGAGACATTTTCTGTCTGCTGAACTGTACACATTGACTGTGCCATTACAAGATTTTAGTGTGCCTGCGTGTAAACTTTGATACTAATTTGGACAATGGAGAGCAATTAAAATGTGTGAATGTGCCATCTTCCACTGTTTTTCTTTATCAGTTGCACATTGCAAATCTTTGATAAACAGAGTGAAGGGTTAAAGAGAGATTTAGCAAAATAATTAAAAATGACCCCCATGCCAAATTATTTCTGGCTTCAGATGAAAAACTTGAGGAGGACTGAGATCTTTAAAAGCAGAAAACAAATAAATCAAAATGCATTACTAATATCCATGATCTGGTTTACCTGCAGCAAATGACCACAGGGGCAATTCATATACTCCAGAGCTAAGCACTATGAAAGGATTTGATGTAAAGCTCAAACCGAAAGTGAAGGGGCTGAATACTTGCTTCCAGGCAATGCAAGAACACAATCCATGGCTAAAGAAACCTGGCAAGGTCCCTCAAGCTCAACCTGTGTCAATTACATGGGCCATGTGGATACTCCTAGGGAAAACATGGAATGTGAGATCCAGTCTTATGAGTCAGTTGCCTGCAGCTGATGCACATGTTAACTGGATGGATTTATTCCAAAACACACATTAGGGCAATACATCTACTAGGCCAACCAAAATGTCACAAAGTAGCATGCAAAGTTAGGCTAGATGGTAAACAAAAGGGTGGGTGGGTACAAAACATTGGCTGATGTTGGAGCCATGGGGCTGGATTCAACCTACTGGCCCTGCCAGCAGAAGCCCATACAAGAACTTCTGCCCTCCCCACTGCAAGCCCCCAAATTGGCTCTGAAGGGATCAGGAGAACCCCTGGAGCAGCATTCAGTGGGAGGAAAAGGCAGATAGTTCCATCAAGCAAGCAGAAATGCTTATGCTAAGGGGGCACTCTTAGTGCTATGTTGAATTTTTTAATTCACACTCTTAATGTGGAAAAAGGTAGCGGTCATTCATATAAGGCTCTGCTGGGTGCTATGGAGGTTTGGGAAGAAGAAGCATACAGTAGTTGACCCAGCATTTTTGAAAAATATAAAATCCAACCACTTAGTTACGCAGAATAAGGTCAGGATCTAGCTGTAGACAGGGTCAAAGTAACTTGTTAGGGAAGAGCTGTAGCTCAGTGGTAGAGCTTTGCATGCAAATGGTCCCAGGCTTCATCCGTGGATCTCCAGCTAAGACTGGGAAAGACCTCTGTCTGAAATCCTGGAAAACCAATGCCAGTCAGTGTTGACAATCAGTAGCAGAGAGTGGTGTGGGGCACTGCCACTCACTTGCAAATGTACCAGCAGAACCAATCAGGCAGTGCATTTATACCATACTGACTTTGCCACCACCTCTGTTGTGGTGTGGAGCAGCAAGGTAAGCGACCACAGGTCAAGTAAGTACCACCCCCACCCCACCGTCCACTAAGGCTGATAATATGGAACTAAAAAGACCAATGGTCTGACTTGCATTGAGGCAGCTTCCTATGTCCTTCAACTGATCAACTTACAGCCTGTTAATTTTAGAATTCAGCTATCTGTTCTACAAAACCAAGAACCACAGACAGGTCCTTTCAGTAACCATGAATATTTGTCCCCTGACCATTTTTCTTTTTAAGTCAGTATCTCTTTACACCTAAAAAATAGTGCTTAAGAGAACTAGTTAAACAGTACATTGATAGCTTTTATAGTATACACACCCCCCCAACAGATATAAAGATCAATAAAGACCTCAAGTTCACTTTTTAAAAAGCTGATGATACATACAAAGGCCTTTCACAAAGAATATTGTATCACTGAATAAAACTTTCAAATCTGACTTTTGCACTAACTTTTCTCCCTAACAATTCACAACACAATTCCAGTGGAAAGGCCTTTGCTAAACTTAATTATAATATTTTTATCCTTAAAAAAGTTATTCTAGTGCCAATGGCTGAATAGTGGGGATATATTATACAGAGTAACTGAAACTCATCTAGGATCATATCTGACCATCTTAACATTTCTATACGAAGTTGATTGGAGAGGTGCTTATGTGCACAGACAGACCATCACTTTTGGTTTGGGAAAATCAAAACCTTATCCCTGCCACTCATTACTATTACTGGGTTCTGAAGACAGATAGGAATGCCTTCCATGATGGGTGAAGCATCGATTGTGGCTGTAATGTTATGAATCTGGTCTCCCAAAACTGGAAGCTTTGCTCTTACTGGGTGCTCCTGGTTTTAAAAAGCACGTCTCTTATTTCAAGATATTGTAGTTTAGACCTCACACCTTATTTAAACTTTGAGATAGCAGCCTTATTTAAACAAATGAGGACAGAAAAGAAGAAGCTTTTTTTAAAAAACCAACAACACAAAACCCTGAAAGTATGTTTCTTAAAAAGCTTAGTAGAAGTAATTAACACTGCAGTCTTATGCATGTTCTTTAGGAAGTAAGTCACATTGCTTTAAATGAGGCTTACTCCTTTGTAAGTATGCTTAGGCTTGCAACCTAAATTAACAATCTACGGATGGAGGGTGGTATACAACTGTAATAAATAAAATTAAAATAAATAAAAGCAATTATCAGGGAGCTTGAAAATCTACTCTCACTCAGTTTCAGAGATGTCAGTGTTGACTAGGAGCAGTGCATCCTGTTTTGCTGCTTAAAGCTACTGGACTACAATTTCCATCATCCATGGCCATTGGCCATGATGGCAGAGACTGATGGGATTTGGAGTCCAACAGCATCTAGAGAGCCACGGGTTCTGTGTTCCAGGTCTAGACTGTGTTTCAGCTTGTTTCTAGAGTTTAGAGTAAAATGGAAAAAGTAGTCCCGTTTCCCTCTCATCTGGCTCTCTTTCTCCCAATAGTAGTCTGATCCAATTTCCACCACAGTATTCACATTCTTTGGGGGTGAGGGGAGAGTTTTATATGTGCATATAGGAAGTTCACAATTCAGTCAAATAACTTAAAAAGAAAGTATTAACATTCCAAGATGGGAATGACTTGTCTCGAAAATGAAACAAGCATTGCTTTTTTCCTGTTTCATTCCTTTCGAGGGTAAATAAGTGGACGTGATCGCACATTTCCATGAGGACAGTTCATTATCTGCACCACCCCCCTATAAATATTGCAATGAACGTATTAATTTTTTGTAAAAAGGCCCAAACTCTACAGCTGGTTTAGCTATAAACCAAGAAAGGAATGTACGTGTGAATTTATTTATATGCTCATTCTTCTCCCTCACATTGTCTCAAATTCCTTCACCTTGACCTTGAAATATTTATTCTGTAAAATCTGCATGAACTCACAAGATTGTTCTAAAATGAGTTTACCGTTCCACCTGCTATGAGTGCCATATTGTCTGGTATTTCCTACTCGAAAGTGTCATAAAACATATCACAAGAAAACACAAGCTAGGCTTATGATTTACCTATTGTATTTTGCACAAAATTGTAGGATATTGATCTTTAAAAACAAAGATTGTGCTTCAAGAGAATACTGCAAAATTATTTACAGTGCAATCTGTACATCTGTGGTCCCCAGTGTGGCAGCTGTGGGCACCATAATGCTCTCAGACATCCTCCTTGCCTGCCCACCGCTTTCTGCTCCTCCCATTTTAAAAAAAGAAAAAACATTTTTGCTTTTTTGCTGAGAGTGAGTTTCTTGTTGAGGTGGCCCTGCATTTTTAAAATGTTTTGTTTTGTGAGTCTGTAGGTCTTTAATCTGTCTTTTTGAAGGGGGAGTTCTGAGCTTCACCAGGTGTCTCTCTCCCCCCCCCCCCCGAGGTGTCTCTCCCCCGCTCCCCGCTAAAGTTGTCATTTTGTGTTATGCCCAACAGCAGATTCTTAGATTGCCAAAAGTGTCCCTGGCCACCAAAAGGTTGGGGACTCCAGCTATACTTGTCTGCTCAGAAGGATTCCCATTAATTTCACTTGGGCCTAATCCCAGGTAGGCGGGTATAGGACTGAAACGTTAGGGTGGCTGAGACTCCACAGGATTCTACAGAGCTGCCTCTCTAAATGATCTATGGTCAGAGGCCTTTCTGATGGGGAGGTGAAAGGCTGTGCTGCCACAATTCACTGGGACTTATTTCTGAGAAGACATGCATAGGATCATCACACTGTAAACTGCATTAAATTTAACGATGCTGAGACCTGCATTTGTCCATACCAACAGCAGATGAGATTAGAGTTTTTGTACTATATGATTTCACATTGC